ATACCTTATACTGCGGTGTCACTCTCTATTTATCTTTTCCCCTTGTTATATAGTGGAAGATATTAGTTGATGCGCAACTATGTCTAATGATCAATGTGCTTCAGGGGCTGCCGTGGGATGCTATTGTGTTGAGCATTTACATTTAAAAGTCATCAACCATTTGAATCATGACAGTGATATGAAGCATTTGCTGGATAGATTGAATAGTGCTTTTGAGAGGTAGATACAAGTGTCATAAAAAAATATTTTCTTTGTTAATTACATCTGAATTTTATATATCGAATTCATATTGTAGTTTGAGCAAAATGTTGGTGCTGAATGCAAGGATGGGATACAGGTATTCTCATCCCCGTAAACTTATATGTAAAATTTGATATCACATAAATATAATATGTTGCTGACTAGCTACTTTTAAGATTGACCGAGCAAACAGACAAGTCAAGATATTGCATCCTCTCAAAAGATGGCCAGGTATAATAACTATAGTTCCTTTGATTTTAAATTGTGTCTTGTAATTTTCTAACACCTGTGATGTTTGTTATTGGAAGGCTATTGGTATGTTTGTCACGCAAGATTTGAGTAAGTTTGGATGTTGGGATTGCTGCGATGGAAGCATACAAGATGCGGTTATAGTTGCAAAAGGCTACGGTATAACTCTATCCTACTTCTATACTTTTGTCGAGCTTATACAATGTATTGAACTGCACCTGATGTAGTTTTTATATCTTTTCCAGACAAGTTGAGCTTTATGGCTGCACAACGTCTGAGTGATGAGAGTGCAGTTCACTTTGTAAGTTTAAGGGTTTAATGGGAGTTGTTTTTACCAAAACGAATAGTGATCTTATAAATGGCAATATTTTGTAGGATACAATCTCTGATGGGCCTGAGTTCGTTGTCATTGCATGTGATGGAGTTTGGTAAGTTCTCAGCCACCACCACTGCTTTCCCTGTCACAAAACCTTATATAACCCAGAAATGCTGAATTGTCGTTCCTGGATTTAGCTCTTGGAATCTTAGAATTTCCTCCTCTATAGGTGCTTGATCCAGCATCTCTTTGTCCTTATGGATAGTTTATATTTCATTTTAGTGTGTTTTGTCAAGCTGGTGGGTTTAACTGTTTAAGTCCTTTTTTGAGTTCAATGTGGTCACACGAGAGATTTTAGTTTCAGAATACTGGAGTCTAATGTCCCGATAATGGTTAACTAGGACATGAGAATGTATATCAACGCTCATAAAACTTAATTGATTTATCTTGTAGGAGGTTACCTAAATTGATGTATTTCCAGGTTAACAAACATATTTTCCTTTTTGTAGCAATCTTATGGAAAACATGGATGCAGTTCGCTTTGTGTACCAAGCAGCCAGAGCGGTAAGTCATTATTTTTTACACTGTATCCTCGCACCTGATGATTATGCTTTGCACAAGCTTCTTATTTTTTCCTGCAAAGTAGTTCTCAAAGTGACATCATGTAGTGTAACTAGCAATCTGACTCTTCAAATGTATTGGCACTAGTAGTTACTTAATAGATTATCATGATTGCTTCTAATGGGGACAGTTTGTGCCTTCTACTGTTTAATTATTCTTGATTTTTGTTTGTTCTGTGATAATTATGCTGCCGACAAAACGAGACTTAGGTATCTAACGTTCTGATGCTCTGACATTGATCAAGTGTTAGGGGATAGAATGCTTGCAATACATTGAACTGACAATTGCTTCTTTGGCGGTTGAATGATAAATAACTATCTTGAGGATTAAGTGGCATTCTGGTTGTCTGAGAGTGTTCCAACAACCAATGCCAAGATAACATTTGCTAGCAATTTTTTATGTTTACTTGTGGTCTATACCCTTGGTATGTTATCTTGTTACAAGTATTGTACTTTAATTATCTTGTTGCTATATACTCTGTTTGCACTGTTGTTTTTTTGTTTTTGTTTTTTTTGGTAGTTGACGTATTCAAGTTTGATGTTTTATCAGGTGATATATTTAGTATGCTGGGTGCACTGATTTGAAGATGTGTTCTTAAGTGAAACCTTTTCTATATAAATGACCTTGGCGCATTATGTCATTTCTTTTAGTAAACAGTTTTCTCTTCTGTTGATAAAAGCCTCATCCTGAAACTATATTTATCAAATGCTCGTCCAGTTAGCTGACTGGCTGTTCCACAGGTCATCAGTAGTTTCTTATGACCAGGCACCAGTGACCAGTAAACCTGACTTGGATGTCTGCATAATTTCATTTGATTACAGTATAGGTTACTTCTATTTGCATGACAAATTAGGCTCCATTGCCAAATGTCATAGAATTGACTTTCCTGGGGAAGGAAATCAACAGATGGCTAACCTTGCACCTGTTATAGACTTATATACGTTATATACTGAATATTTAGATGTTTTTGCGTCTTCAATCGCCTGCCGAACGATGTCCCAGACCACTGGTTGCCAATTTTCCAATTTCATGGTGTGGTAGAATGGCTGAAAAGTGGCAAACATTCCAGCATATTACATTTTAATGTAGCTATGTATGATTTGGATTTGGTAGATAATTGCCCTCACATGAAGAGATTATTATGTCATTAGCGTTCTTCTGCAGTTGCGCTGTTTGTCACCTATTTCTTGATTGCATTTGATCAGTCCTCGAGGCATCCGAGTAAGCGCTTCCTAAAAGTGGCGTGCTGCTGTTTCTCTCTGAGAATGGAATGTATTTCCTAATCTTGTTGAGTGCAATTATTTTGGTCCTGACCAGGAAACATCATGTATTACATTGTTTATATGTTGTTTGTCTTTGTTTTCTTGCCGGCTTTTGACATCTTTTTAAACTGACATAGGACATGGAGCTGCGTCCTCTCTGCGACGTCCTCCTGGATGGCCTACTATCATCGGGAAGCTCGGTAAAGGTGGTGGCTGTACTTGTGCAGTTCAAGGCCCGACACATGGGCGAGGGTTCTTCCGTCAATGTCTGACTTGTGCCTGTACATGTTCGAGAGTTTTGTCACTGAGAAAGAAAGAGGTCACACTTGGCCAAATGGCTTGATTGCTCGATCATTTTGGTGATGCTAGGATTACACAGTAATTCTGCCTCTCATGGCTTAATTATGTTGGTGATGATGTTGAGACCACTGGGAGAATGTTATATATGCCTCTCTTGAGGAGAGTCTACTCTGCTCCATATGGACCTGCGTGCCCTGTTTGCGTTTGTGTAAAGTCTGTATGGCGTTTGATGTTGAGTTGCTTTTAGGGCATGCACAACAGATTAGATGTCTGTTATCTACCGAGACTCCTCCACGTCACTTGTAGACAGTATGTAGAGATACCTAGTACAACGGTTGGGTTGTCTCTAGAGGAGTCTAGTGAGTGATCTAGAGGAGATAACTTTATTGTATGTCGATAAGAGCATGTTATCTCTGTACTTGTGTAGTCTATATATTGCGTTTGCTTGTTTCATTGTGTAACATAATTGAGGACGGATGACTTGTGTAATTCACAGTTGCACGTTCAGCATACGAGATGGACATAGATTGCTTTAAAGATTCTACACATATCTAACACTCCCTCCGTCTGAAAATACTTGTCATGAAAATGTACAAACAGAAAGAGACGTATTTAGAACTAAAATACGTCTAAGATACATCCTCTTTTATCCATTTTGATGACAAGTATTTTCGAACGTAGGGAGTAGTAACTTTGAGCACCACAATGGGCTGGCTGGTGGTCCGGCAGCGCGGCGAAGCAGCGGGTGTGGCCACCGTCCACGCACTCTGCTTTCTGGGCAGGCAGGAAACGGGACCTTGGTCAGGGCATCCTGCGGCCACCACCGGGCGGCGACAGGAGCGGAGCGTTCCATGAAGGGATTTCTTTGGAGCACGGACCGCTGGTGACCCACGAGCAGGTTGAACCGGCAAAATAGCTACGCACTCTCTACAACGGGAAGAAGGCAGCAGCCATGTAAGGTGGTCTACGGATCTTGATGCTATTTTTATTATTTTTAGTGTTTGTTGTACTAAACCATGATTAAAGATGAATAAGTTGAAAGTTTTTCGAAAAAAAAGTCAGTTTTAATTTCCCAATCTGTGATCGCGGAGGGAAAAATCTGACGTGTTGATTCTTCAGGGAGGTTGGCTCCTCACGTGTACTCGCAGTGTCCTGATCGATCTTTACTCGATCGTTTCCGAGTACAGATGCACAGGAAAATAATTGATGTCGGTCCTGGCTTTTTTGTACACGTACAATACAATAGATTCCTAGTCCAAACCGGACAGGACTTTGTAGCCCAAACCCGTTGTGTATATGTATACTACTACGATACGGAAGGACGTACTCCCTCCTTCCATCTATATAGGGCCTAATGTGTTTTTTAAGACCGCCTTTGACTATTGACAAGATTAATAGTACATGACATGCACAATGTGAAAATTATATCATTGAAAGCTCCTTTCACACACGAATTTAATTGTGTGCTTTGTGTAAGTTGCATGTCATATATTATTGCTCTAATATTTGGTCAAAGTTAGCCTCGAAAAACGCATTAGGCCCTATATAGATGGAAGGAGGGAGTACAATATATACCAGGTTAAAATCTACTGCGACGGACGAGTAACGAAAACGGAACGACAGATCCTGCACCGGCCACATAAAATCCAACAATATCTGAAGCCCCGATCTGGATCTGGGGGTGAGGCCGTGGGAGCGCGATGGGGATCAGTCCATCGTCGTTGCGACCCCCATGGAGCTCGCGGCGGGCCGCCACGAAGGCCGCGCCCCCTGCTGCGACCGAGGGCGGCGGCGGCACTCCCGTCCGGCTGCCGCTGCCGCACGACGTGGTCTTCGACATCCTGTCGTGGGTGCCGGTGAAGTCGGCGTGCCGGTTCAAATCCGTGTGCCGGGAGTGGCGCGCCCTCATCAACGACCCTGCCTTCGTCGCCGCGCACAAGGCTCGCGCGGAGCCGCTCCTCGCCATCGCCGCCGACTCGTGCGACGAGCCGTCGACCCTGCGGCTCATCGACATGGACGGCCACATCATCAAGGTGATCAAAAACTCTCTTCCGATTTTAAGGCTTGTCTGCAGCAGCCCTGGCAACCTGATGTGCGTCATCGGGTATGCGCTGGGGATAGCCAGAGTGCTCAACCTTGCAACCGGAGAGGCTGCTGTGATTGACCTCACATCTAACTTTATGGGCTTCGGCCGCGCCGCCCCGTCGGGCGCCTACAAGATTGTCTGCGTTAGTCCCGGCAGCACCGAGATCCTCACGGTAGGAGACGGCGTGTGCTGGAGGCAAGCTCAGCCCCTGCCTAGCAGCAGCATCTCGTATAACAGCCGCCCTGTCGTGGTCAGGGGTGTCATGTACTTGATTTTAGTTTCACAGCTCAATGGTGACAGCGTGATCTGCTTCGATCTTGAGAGCGAGGAGTGGAAGGGGGGGATCAGAGGCCCGCCGAGTAGCGAACGTCAGCGGTGTGACGCTAGCTTGCAGGAACTCAACGGGGCCCTGTGTATGCTCCTGCCGGAGGTCGGAAACATTTACCATGGAACCATGAGCATATGGCTCCTGATAGATTCACGCAAGGGGGTCTGGATCAAGGTGTACTCGATCCCCATGGACCCGTCTGCGTATAGTCTGATCACGCCTTTGAGGATACTAGGTGATAATGGTAAACTGCTCTTCCATGTCACGCTTAGCTTCGACGAATTCGCGGTGCTGCAAATCTACGACCCTCGTCATCGGACATTCACGGACGCGCCCAAGGTGCTTGCGGGTGACAACGGCGGCAGTATCAGCCTTTGCAGCTTGCATCTGGATAGTTTTCTGCCGGCCAACGTCTAGTGCTATAAATTGTACGTATGTGCTCGTCCTGGATTGTTTTATTGATTGAAAAGGTTAATTTCTCAAAAGAACAAGGTCATACTACTCCTTTAGAGTTGACGGAAACTGGCTATGTGTCTCCTTGGAAAACTTCTCAGATGGTAATATTTTGATGTGGTGTGGTGTGCTTGACTTGAAATTGGAGTATTGTAATCCTCAGACAACATGAACTGACTGCGTGTTTTTGTGATTGTCTGCTCCCGGCTCTGGCCCCCGCTCTGCTGATAGCCCGCTGGTCGTCCAATGCACGCGCCGTCTCCCTCTGCATCCCTCGTATGCCTAACTTGCCAGTCATCCAAGCAACAGAATCTGCCATCATCCTTGATCTCCACCATGATACTGGAGTAGTAATCTCCACCATGACATTGGTTTCAAATCAGACTTTTGATTATTAGAAACAACTAGTAAGCTTCACGATCACACAGTAGAAAACTATTTTCTCATTCATCTAGTTATGACTTATGAGGCAATAAAAAAATTTTACATATAGAAATTTTCATATGTTTCAACCAAACAATTACAGAGATAATATTTTGGTAAGATTTCTGAACCTCTCTAGTTGCAAATTGCTTTCTCATTCATCTAGTTATGACTTATGGAAACATCTACAGTATTACAGAAGAACTTTCCCCTGCTTCTTCAGGCCACCACAATCACCAGACCATGATAATACAGGGGAAGTTATCAAAACTCATAGTTTGGCCATCATGTTCAGTACAACAGCAGTGTGGCACAACAAAAGGATATTGCATATATCCCACAAGTCATGTATAGAAAAGGCCCAAGCATAAGAACCAACAATAAATGTACGGAAATGTTAAAGCCCACACGTGTGGGCGTTTGCACATCGCCCACACGCCTCCATCACCACTCATTTTGCCACGTATGAATAGATGACATCAGCAGAATTTTTTTTGGTTTTCGGCTTAAAAATGTTGTATCTCCTAAATAAAAAAGCGAACTAAAAATCAGTTTTCACCATTAAATCCGTCTCGACGAGATCTTCAAAACTAGACCCCATGTTGATATGTTTCGACGAATTTTTTTTTTGCCAGAAGTTGCCACGATGTTTACACTGCAGTTGTCATAGGGCTTAAACTAAAGTTGCCATGTGGCAATTTTAGTTTGTAGATCATGGCAATTTTAGTATTTTGATGATGGCAACTCCAGTACTTTGACCATGAAAATTATTTTTTGTATGAACCATGGCAATTTTACGTGCATGTATCATGGCAATTTTAGTTTATGGTTCATGGCAAGTCTAGTTTCTTAATTCCCCGTTTTATATATGTCAAAATTTACTTTTAAATATAGAAGAAAATAGCTGAAACATATCATGGCAACTTCAGTGTAAACATCATGGCAATTCATATGCAATAGACATGGCAACTTTTAATCCAAAAAAATTTCATCAAAACATATCAACATGGGATCTAGTTTCGAAGATCTCATCGCGAGGGATTTAATGGTGAAAACGGATTTTCAATCGGATTTTTCGTTTAAGTGATAAAACATTTTAAAAACTGAAAATCAAAAAGATTCTTGCATGCATGCATGCGATGACGTGGCAATCTGTTTACATTAGAGATATGTGGTGCGTCTCCCTTCCTGCCACACGTGTGGCAGTTAGCGCGACCCTAAATGTAAGAACATCTATATCCGGGCGCCTCAAACCCGCCTCATACCCCCGGGCGGGCTGTCAGGACCGGATTTTTGGGATATTATTTTCCAGAAATGGCCCTTGTGTTCATCAGCCCTAGGATTATTGTTAGCTGACGAGACACCAATTTGATACAAAAATTCCAAGCAAAATACATAATATGTAGTACAAGACCATTCTGGTCTATGAGTACAAGAAATGGTTTCTAGTGGTTGATGGCGGAAGCGGTTTGTGGTCCATCAGGGGCCATGGGACTCCATTTCTCACAGGAACAGCTGACCAGGTTAACTCCTATCTTCGCGAGGCCGCTATCACCGTTGCTTAGGTTCCAGGGCTGTCATCTCAACGCCCCTCTCCAAGCAAGAAAATCTGGCCAAGACAATAGCCAGGGACAAGCCAGTGAGTACTTTGAATGTACTCGCAAACATTATGAACACAGGTATAATATAACAAATGATAACCATGCTCTAAAATAATCTATGATCACAACGTCAGTCACGAAATAAAAATCCATGTTGCACGCCAGCAGGTTGTTCATATAAAACATGAATATGCAATCAGAGAATAAAAATAGTATGCACCGATCGGGTGTCTGAAGCGACGCCTCGAAAGGATAATAATATAAAGCATGCCTCAGTCGGGCGTCTGAGCGACACCACATAAAGGGCTTATAAGAAAATAATCACAATGAATATCCAGGAGGTAGAACCGTCCCAGGGATACTCAATAATTCAAATAATATAAAAGGTTAGTCCATAATAATAATAATCATAATCATCATAAGTCACAAGTCATGATCCATATTTTGGTTTAGTAATTTCTCCTTCGAAGGCCGACACTAAGATCGACACTTGACCCATCCCAGACTGTAGTCCTTACCCATGGACACGGCTATTCGAATAGATTTAATCTCTGCAGAGGGTGTACTCTTTACCCACGAGTAACAGATTCCTTTAGTCCATCGGGACTAATTCCGTCTACGGTCTTTTAATTGAAAGCACACCTGACCCGCACACACCAGCTTAACTTACCGGTGTCTGGAATCACCCACGACACTTGTCAAGCAAAACTCTAAGTGGGGAGGCTACAACCTCGATTAGCACGGGATCAAATTTATACCGCGCGCTACTAAGGGGTGCCCCCCTCTCGGTCCCAACCGGAAACACCCATGCCCCCGGACCAGGTGGCCTGCCTACCGGATGCAGCCGGTATCTTCCACCATGGCCTCTGTGTACGGTGTGTGCCAAGAAAGATGTTGACAACTTACTGAACCGTACCCTACCTGTGGCAGGGACAAGTGGTAGTACGAAACAAGTATGTGGGTTACTGAAACAAGACTCGATCTACGGTCGACTCAGGAGGTTTAAGTCTTTCCTGCATGGTTAGCATAACAAATATATTTTAATCAACAGACAGAATCACCACTCATCATACCCCATCATGCCATACCGGACACACTCGTCTCGACGAGGAACTAGGGGCAAGCTCGGGTCTACCCAAGACAGAGACTTTCCCGGCTTCCTTCCGGTATGCATGAAAAGCATACGAGGGTGATCACTATCACAACATATCAAAATTTCAGTAGCACGGAATCGTCAATATGCACTTATGAGTATGCTCATATCATCACATAAAATAACGAAAACTCAGAGACAAGGAGTGCTGTAACCGTATTCAAACGTCACACAAAAATATTATGCCAGAGTTTAGAATGCTTGCCTTCAAGCTGTGGAGAGGCAGGGTGCATTCCAAAACTTTTGAAAGTTTTCTTCTCTCTCCAACAAATCCTATTTTTGAAAATATTCAAATTAATACATAGTTTCAAAATAGTGCAAAAAAGTTGTCTGAAATTTTTTCAAATAAATTTGAAAATAAACTAGACAAAATTTGAGAGAGGTAGGAAAAAGAATCAACTCATTTGGAGTTTTATTTTAAAGATATATCCAGTCAAAGTTCTGAGTTTAATTAAAACAGAGAAAAGAAAAATGTTTGGAAATAAATACACGTCGAAGGCGTATTCTGGGATTACGCCAGCGTGGACCGGCGCTGGGTCACTGACAGTGGGTCCTGGGGGGCCCACTGGTCAGGTTTGACCGGTCTCCCCCGCCTCCTTCCTCCTCCGGCCGAACAGGGACGGGGCTCCGGCGATCAACGCCGGCGAACGGTGGCTCCTCGCGGGCTCCGGAGGGCAGCGATGGATCCGCGGGTCCAGGGCGGTCCTCCCGGTGGCCGTTAGGTAGGTGGGGACGAAGGGAGTCGCCGACGGTGAGCTCCGCGGCGGACGACAGCTACGGGTGGATTGGGGCTTTGGGCTACGGTGGCTCTCCGGCGAAGCTGAGGGCTTGGGCGGCTCCGCAAGACCAAGTGGAGTCGGGTGGTGGCGCTGGATGGACAGGAGAGGGTCTGCTCGCGACGAAATGGACCGGAGGGCGACGGCGGCCGAACTGGCCGGAGACAGGGAAGGAAGCTTCCCGTCGTCGATTGCTGGCCAGGGGAGCTCCAGTGGGTTGGCTTGAAGGTTGCTTGAGGGCCTAGGCGAGCTCGGGGGTCCTTATATAGGCGGCCGGGGTCGGTTCCGACGGCGGCCGTGGATAAGAATGGCGAACCGCTGTTCTGTAGATCGTAGGGCGACGTGGCGGCGACCGGCGCTAGCAGACGGCTCGCGGATGAGCTCGCGCTGCTCCAGGGGGCAGCTGGCGCGCTGGGGTGGCTCGGGCGGCGCCATCCGGGGCAGGAGCCCACTGTGGCCGGCCGCTAGCCGCCGTGGCCGACCTGACGGCGGCGCTGTAGGGCGCCGGGGGGGAGGGCTTGGATGGTTCTGGCGAGTGGTTGAGGGCGGGCGCGGCTCTGCGGGCGAGCAAAGGTCAGGGGCGCGGGGCGAGCGAACGCGGCGGCTCGGGTGCACGCACGTGCAAAACGCGCGCTCTGGGCGCGCCCAGCGCACGCACGCTACATGCTCGACGCAATGCCAGAGCGTGCTAGAGGACTAGAATGAGGTTGGGGATTAGCAGGCCTGGGTTAGGGTTAGTTAGGAGCTTAGTGGACATGTTGATTTGGTTAGGGGGTCAAGTCCACAATGCAAACTAAGGATCATGCCAAATCTGTTCATGCACTCAAGGTGTTTGACAGAATGCCAGGGGCATCTAGGCAACTCTTGGGGTGGCCAAACTCTCCAGACTAGTGTCTCTTTAGGTGATAGAGAGGGTGGCAATGTTAGTTGGTCAAGACTAGAAACTTGATAGTGGAAGTTTTTGAGAAAACCATTTCTGGACAGAAAGAAAAGGGCATAGTTTCATGGACC